AAGAAATTGAGTCAATTTGAAATTTGTTGACCCTTTCGAGGGCGTGGTACCTACCCCCAAGCTAAGTATCCACTTGTCTAACCCTATCGAAAGAGTCCCTATTGTTAAAGGGGTGTGGTCCCCATGTTTAAAGAGATGTTTCAGTTGAGTTTGTTAAATTGATGAAGAGAATGAAGATGAAATTATTATAGAGAGACATTTGTTAGTGTTTTTGTACAGTGAAATGCAAAGTTTTATAAATTGAAGTGTTTAGAAGATAAATAATATAGATTGATTAGTAGATGAGTATTCAGTAAGGTAATAAGTTTTTCTTTTCGTTGATGATTTGTTTGTTTTGTAATAGTTTAGTAATGCTAATTTTTAGATGTTCGATTCGAAAAGGCGAGAAATTTTTCAAGAACACATCAATAAACGTGTTCTTGTCGAATGGGTTCGCATAACAGGATTAGATAACAAAGCAAAATGGAAGCTTGATCGACTGCTTTCTTATCTATCTAACACTATAACAGGGTGAGTATACTTATGGTTCGAGTCATGTTTCATTTTACATAAATATCTCTTTTTAGCTATACTGGTACCGAAAACGCTTTCACCTGGCCTACATTTGCAGGTGTCAGTGGTGGTATACCTGCGTATCGTGTATGTTTCACATTAACTTAATGGATCTTGAATTAGACTTATCTTTATGTAATTAAGGCGAAAGTTTCTTACGCGTATTGGAGATACTTCATGTCTGAGGGTCGCCGAAGGCTTGCTGAACATAATAAAGAACAAGGAACAAAAATAGCTGTAATTAAGGAGCAAACATTGAGAAACCAAGATAGCAATAATTTTGGGTATGTAGAATTTAGCTTTTGTTGTTCAAATGTTAGTTATGCATATGCTAATTTTAGCTTGCTCGTCAGGAAAAAATTATACTCACTGTATGCTTCAAAGAAAGTCAAAGCTCCTGAGATATCCGTCAAAAGAGGATTACTACACATTGGAAAAAATATGGTGATTATTAGTCTTTTCGTGATTTTTCTTATTTTATTTTTAGTTATTATAGATAGTCAAACCTTCCATCGTTGCTATCAGCTTAAATCTCGTTCTTTCGGAATGGAAGGGTCTACCCCCAGAGGAGCTTCTTAGTGAAAGCGAGAGAAAGGACTTCTTGGTAGATTTTTTTTGCTTTTTTTGCATGCGGCACCGTAAAGCCAGTTCAAAGAATATCTTGCTCCACGCTACGTCAGCTCATCCACAAGCCGTTAAACGTGCACTTATTAACAACATGCTGAGCAACGAGTATGTGCAGGCGAAGCTGAACGTCAAGAATCGCGTCGCCTAGCTTGTGAGATAGCTGCTATGAACGGTTATACGGTACCACAACGCACTGGAAGACAGCGCTCTAATATGCGAGAAGGCCCGCGTCCAAACAAACTACCGCTATGCCTTCCTTTTATCTCCGATACGATAAGCACTGCAATACAACGAAGCATTGTTAGAGCACAGTTGCAAGATGTTGTTCAGTTGGTTAACATCAAGCAGCAACTGGTTCGAAACAGGCTGTACGATAAACAGTGCATATCTAGAGATTGTGTTATTTGTCCACACGGCAGACTCGGTGATTGCGCTAAATCGGGTGTGATCTACCAAATAGAATGTCTGGCGTGTGGACACACATACAGGGGGGCCAAAAAAAGTCATTCCGGCCGAGTCACATATGAGAGCAGAAGTTTTCGCAGCGAGCCGCAGCCCAGAGAGAAGTGGATATGAGTACCAGGGCGGAAGATACCCAAGATCTTCCTCTATAAGCAGGAGCCGGCTGCCGCCATTCACCTTCATGTACACCAAAATATGAAGTCATCTCCAGTCGCGGCCTGAGGAAACGTTGCGTCCTTTGGAATTCACCGTGCCTCTCAAACAGGCGGTGGTGTTATGTGGGTAGTTGTTGCCCCTGGTGGGCTGCGAACTTCTGTTAAGATTTCGGAGGATCAACCCGTGGATTGCTACCAGTGGAGACCAGTACTCTTGATCTGGCGAAGACGTCTCAAAGCATCGAGTCCAGACTGCCGGCAACGTCGCTATCGGAATCCAGGACTATCACTTCACTAGTGCCCAAGCGCCCAGTTGATGTGGGGGGACTGACCGTACGCTTGAATAGGAGAGAGCGACCATATTTTCTCGGGTCTCTCTTAGGACTAAAGTGTGCCTGGTTGCTACATCGAGCAGCTCGAGGGAGAAAATCCTTCTTGTGCGCCCGTACTGTTACGTCGTTGAAACTTGTGACTGCTACAGGATTGGGTGACAACACATTTAATCGAAGGGCGTTGGAAAAACTTTCGCCTACTTGGAATGGAAGAACGTTGAGTACCTGGAAAAGATGGAGTATTTAAGCGGGGTCCTGAACTAAACCCCCTCAATTACTCGGTTCGGGCGGAGCTCAACAGGTGTCTACCAGTGGTCGAGAATAAGCGATCTCGCGCAAGCTCCGGTACCTGCGACTCAACTTTCGGCTTGCGGCCGCGAACGTCTGGATGGCGCTCCCCATGAGCTGTGGCGAGTATCATCATAGGCATTTAATGTGCTCTTGATGATGTTACTATAATATATTTTTCCTATAGTAGTAAAAATGTCCGATAAAAATTTAATAAAGTGTAACTTATAGCGCCTTGAAATTCATGGAGGCAAAATGACTTTTTTTTGCCCCCCCCCCTATATATCGGAGAGACTGGAAGGCCGCTAGGTATACGAATAAACGAGCACCTAGCTGGTATGAGACGTGATAGGCTCACGACAGCGCTTGGCAGGCATAAATCTGAGGAGCATGACGGCAACAACTTTGAAATCAAGTGTACGATATTGGCGCAGGAGACGGAAATTTCGGCAAGGAAGGCGTTAGAGGCGTTTTGGATTTCAGTCAGAAATCCTAGGATGAACAGCCGAGATGAGTGTCCGTCAGTGACAAATGACCTTCTGCCATACATACCGTATTGCGAGCTCTAAGTAGCAGCGCTACTTGCGTCTCCTCACTTCTAGACGTGTGAGGAGACGCTATAGTAAGCCTCAATCTCTACTATTACTGTCGCGGTATTAATCCGCGACCAGGAAGATTCATCTACGATAATGATACCATTTTTTACATCTGTTGTAACGATATCGTTCTCTTGTTTGATATACGTTGCATTGTTTCTTGACGTGGAGAAGTGTCTGGTTCAGTTACTCAAGTTGAAGTAAAGATAAAGTGTTACGGCACTGTGCTCGGATAATTAAGTCCCGCGTGGCAGAACAAGTTAATACATGGTGCATCGGAGCCAAGTATACATCGAACCGAGGTCAGTCGAAAATTCTCGTTACTAGAACCCTTTACTTGTCACTACAAGTCAAGTTGAAATTCAACCATAGGGTCCAGTGAGGATCAAGCCCAACCTATTCAAATCCAGTGAGGATCAAATTCAACCATAGGGTCCAGTGAAGCCCAACCTATTCAAATCCAGTGAGGATCAAATTCAACCATAGGGTCCAGTGAGGATCAAGTTCAACCCGGCTAAAATCCAGTGAGGATCAAGCCCAACCTATTCAAATCCAGTGAGGATCAAGCCCAACCTATTCAAATCCAGTGAGGATATCTTTTGGGAATTAAGTTCAACCCAGCTAAAATCCAGTGAGGATCAAACCCAACCGATTCAAATCCAGTAAGGATATCTTTCGAGAATTTCGCAACAAGTTTAGGCCTACAAGTACTCAGTGAGAGTCATATTGTAAGTCAAAATGGTTAGCAAGCTCAGATGTTCTCGAGGGGAAGGACAAGTCGAGGAGCCTCTACATAGCTATAACCTTAAAGGTTAGAAGGTGACTATTTCACGCCGACTAAAATAGGCTGATTTGGACCGGCTCTCGAAATGTGTCGGACGATCCGGAAGGCGATTTTTGAGGCTGCGCTACTTTCAAAATGTGAAAAACGGCAAGAACTCCGCTAGAAGCTGACTAATTAGGCCCATGGACACCCCTTAGGCCCATGCCGACCCTCACCGGCTGCTAGCTACTAGCTAGTAGCCACTATGTTATCTTTCTCTATAACATTTCGGACTGCTTTTTCTGCTGCTTTTCTCCGCTAATCAGATACTTAGCACTTTTTTGTGCCTATTTGAGTTCCGTTTCCCGCAATTTGCGGTCGCGAACTGTGCCTTTAAGGCCACGGCCACAGAATCGCCAAAGCCACTCCACCATGGCAAGTATTAGCAGTCCCGCGATTTCAGCTTCACTTTTCACAATCACGCTATGTTCGTTGGCCCTTCTTTCTACATCGACTTTAGCAAGTACGCCCACCATAAGAAACCCCATACTCGCAAGTAACCATAAAACGAGTACTACCTCACTGAATTTCAAGTTCAACAATACACTCAAGCGCTCCCGTAGCGCCGTCAAGCTAAAAAACTCATGTACTCTCCATTTCAGGATGGCCGAGCGTGATGTGGATCCAGATGCGACATACTTAAGCAGACTGATGATAAGATCGCATCCGAGTGCGGACCGAATGGAGGACGAACTAGAGGCATGCCTCAACGAAATAAAACATCTCATCTCAACTTCAGCAAGTAAAAGAAGGCACTTCAACTTCTTGACGGCAGTCGACCCCAAAAGAAGAGACAACATCGGTGACAGGTTTCTCCACCTCAGCAAGTTCGTACGCTCTACAGTTTCTGTGAAGGAGGCGCTTCTACGCCTAGGAACAAGATATATTTTAACCGAGCGTATTTATGCACAGCAAGCAAATAATGGAGGCCTGTTATCAATCCGATATGAAGACTGGCTGGCGGGGGAAAACGGAGCCCGCAAGATCGGAGCAGTGAACAAGTTAATAGAAGACGAACTCCGACTCCTGATGGCAGCTATAGAACAGGCAGAAGAGATACAGGAAACGATGGAACAAGTTTTGAGGGAAGAATGTCAACGGATGGAAGAAGAAGAGCCTTCACCTC